CTAAGAGATGAACCAGGGACAATCATAATTTCACAGTCTCCTAATTCATTCATTCATTCATCAAATTTGTCACCACCCATCTCATTAAACAACTCAGGGCAGTTTACAACAAGATAAAAATTCATTAAAATACAATATAAAAGCAATCCTAAAAATAAATAAATTCCAAGAAGATAGAAAATTGGCAAGTATTAATGTTACCTGTAATGGTATTATAAAAATAAGGAAGTTTATTCCATATGTTACCTAATCTCTGTAAAAAAAAAAATTGGATAAAATATAGATCACCAGACTCTAGATTAAATTGTCCTCTGCCATCACAACAGACAAAAAAACCGGAAGTAAAACTGGAAGTGTTAGTCTATTAGAATACCATCCAGGGCTCTCGTATAGATGCACACAAGTTTTATGGAGGAATACGTCAATAACAGTTGTTCCTGAGTTTTAGAAATATAAAATCTAATTGTTGTTCAGTTCATGATAACAACAGAAAATGTCAAGGTCAAAATTGATATAAAGGACCATGATTTCCATTGACTTTAAGACTAAAGAAATACAGTTACCAAAGAAATACAGTTTCCTCTTAACAGAGGAAGTTAATTGGACATGCTGAACCATTCTACCTAACTTCATATCATCACAGTTTAGAAAGGTGGTTATTGTCCACATTTAGGTGCCATTTTGGTAACATGCAGATGCTGCTATTCCTCCAATCAGAAAACTCATGCAAGTTTATTCTCTTCAACTTTTGGCACCAACCCTGCAAACCTAAGTATTACATTTGGCACCTAGAATATCCCGTTGTAAAGATGGTTCAGTCAGCTTTAGGAAGGGATCAGCCTGTCAAAAAATAGAGTAAATGTTACAAAGAAGTAACACTATTTATTCTTTCCATTTTCAATTGATGAGGTGCTCAGAAAACAATTGGTGCTATTGTTGAGGAAGAGGGTGATCCTGGTTGCAAATTACATGATTGGTATTCTAATTACAACTATAATAGCCAATAAAATCAGTGAGCTGGGAGTCAATGTCTTGAGTAATTTAAAGTATTAAGCCTACCCACCACATCAAATTATCACAAAATGCATCTTTCTTCACCCATATTACCTGATGAATAATTTAGGAAAAGAGATTGTATGAAGGAATGAGTAGGCTACACCAAGGGACCCTTGAGCAACTTATTGTAATAAACGTTTCTAATAACTCAAGTTTCTGCCGGTTTCAAACCCTTATACCCTATGCAATGATGTTGTAGTTATACTCTGTGACATAGCAGCTTATGAATCTCGACCTCCACCATATTGTATTTAACAGTTCCTATGAAGCCATCAAACCCATGCTATTGTTCTCCTTTTTTAATCACAGCCATTCCTCAAATTATATAAAGCTCATACTAATAAAGACCTTCATTATCCCTGTTTGTGTGTTTATTCAGCAAACAAAAGCCCAGGATCAACAGATATGCTTCTGAGCTGTAAGGTTGAATTAATTTCAGAGAATTAGGGCTGGTAACGTCTTTGTTTTTTATTAATATAGCTTTCTATCATGCTTTTCCTGATTAATGTCACAAAGAGTGATGTTTGCCCCAATTCACCCTTTAAGGTACATATTTAGCAAAGATCCTTGAGATTGGCTGGTCTGGGTCTTCCGGGCTGTGTGGCCGTGTTCTGGAAGTTTTGTTTCCTAACTTTGCGCCAGCACCTGTGACCGGCATCTTCAGAGTGAAGGAGGACAGACAGGAGAAGTGCTCTGTATGCCCAGTGTG